GTCGTGGGTGAAGTCTGAGCTGGTCCTGGGCACCCTCCCACTTGACCTATCTGCACTGACCGGCGTAGTGAGGTATATACGCCAAAGCCCCCTTGTCCAGTATGGTGTAGGGAAGGGCTTCGGCCAGTAGTGGATTAACAAATGACTTGAAATTGTTTGTTAACTATGTACATATCATTTCCTGCAGTTCATTCCCATTGGACGCTATAATGACTACGACGTCAGCAAATCTGGGATGGTTAATGTTTCACCATTAATATTTATACGCTGCGATGATGAATATGTACTTAAGGAAGCGCTGTAATAACACAGATTTTTAAAAATGCAAGAAAAGTGCATTTTGCTCGCAAATGAGCAATTCCCATGAGCGATTCCAAAAGTTGTCTCAGAGCACTGTGCGTTTAACAGTTGTAAGTCAGCTGATACCGATGTGCCCTATATTGAACCCAGTTACGAGTGTTTTGGGTGCATGTCTTTAAATCCAGATCGCGTGAATAATGCAGAAAAATTGCCTGATTAGAGCACCCATCTTGCAAGGCAACACAGTGCATGCAGGAGGCAGAACAGCAAGTAGATGTTTGGCAGGAATAATGATTGTGGGCTCCTCGAGTTTGTAGCCCTTCCCCCGCACCTCTGATTAGCACGGTTGACGATGTACGGCGCAAAGGAAGTCCAGCAGACATACGTACAATACTGAAGCAGCAGCAATCGGCAAAGCATACCAAAGCAGGGCCGCACTAAATAACACAACTGGCATGTTAGAACACTTGATTCTACTACTACCACTATACCACTTCACTGCTCAGCCCATTATCCCCACAGGATCGCTAAAATTGTACCACTTAGTAGGAAATCAATAGCAGCTGCCCTACAGGCTGCTCACCGCCACTCAAATGCATATATTGTTTTTCACCACTGACTTTCGACCGCTCATCGAGACGGGCGCAGCCTAAATGCTTGTTCCAGCGTTGCGATGCATCGACGTCTGGCACTTAGCACGAAGCCGCTGTTGCTGTTTCTCCCAAATCCCCTGAGCGCAAATACGCTTGGGTGACGGCCACAACTCTCGCCACGTTGTTGTTGTTGTTTGCTTCTTCTTCTCCTCCTCAATGTGGGAAAAAATTCCTTCGAAAAAGCTTGCCGTTTCGGATTATGTCGGCGGGGGCCTGCGTTGAATTGCGTACTGTCAAATGACTGAAACCAAGCTCGCAAAATCGTGCCGCCGACACTGAACAGATGGTCAGTGTTGAGAGAAACTCGCCCAAGAATCTCGAGAACGTCCGTAATGTTTGTCCCCACTTTCGACGATGAAATGAATAATTTTTCGCCGGGAGTGTAATGTGTGTGCGTGTGTGCGTGCACGTGAAAACAAATATTTGCAGTGATTTTATTTGGACTGTCGACGAGTATTTATATTCACGAGACAGAGTTGCAGTTTGACTCAACGCTTGCTGTCGCCGTCCTTAATATTCTGAAATAACGGCGTGGAAAACACTCGCAACCAATTTAATTTTTTTCCGTGCCATGTAGAAGAAAGGCCATTGCAAGGGTAACACAGTACATGCAGGATACAGCACGGCAAGTTGGTGTCTGACATTAAGTACGATTGTTGGCTTCTGGAGTTTGTTGTCCTTCCCCCGCACCTCCGATTTGCACGGTTGGCTACGTACGGTGCGAAAGAAGTTCAACATACATACGTCAACCAGCTCGGAACATCACGCCATCATTAACCATCATCAACTATCTCATACCATCAGCTAATACCATCCTTCCGCCGCACCTCCGATTAGCATGGTCGGCGACGTAGGGTGCGTAAGAAGTTCAACAGACATACAGGACGTACAAAACTTAAGCAACAGGAATCGGCAAAACATACCAAAGCAGGACCCTGCTGAATCAGATAACTGCGATCCACTGAAGGCTCTAACGCAAGGCGTGTCAGAGCACTTGATTCTCTCTGCCGCTACTATACCATTGCCCTGCTCAGCCCATCATCCTCATAGGGTCGCTAAAACAATTGTACCACTTAGTCGGGAGTCGATGGCAGCTGTCCGACAGACTGCTCACCACCACTCGAATGCGTACATTCTCTAACCACTGACGAAAATCCATTGCCCACAGCGCCCGCCCTCCCTCAACCCCCCCCTTGTGCACGTTTGTCCTTTGAAGGCCGCATGGCCGTTGGTGACGGCGGCGTCGAGTTTTGTGTTTTTTGTGTCTTTGTCGCCACCAAATTTCAGGTCGGCTTTTGAACGCACCGACGCAATCCGATGTGACGGTCGGCTTGTTTGAGGTTAAAAGGAGTGAGCGCACACGTGCGTTGTGGAGAGCGGAGGGCAATGCATTGTCTGCTTGAAATTGTGCTCACAACGGGAGCACACAAAACGGGCGGGTGTTTGGAAAATCTGAAAGCGGGTTACGTTTTCATGTATAAATCAGTGTGTGTGCCTGAGAATGATAATAATAATAACATGGGGACCTGTCGTCTATTGATTAGCGCACTGCGCTACTAACCTGGCGACCCGAGTTCGATTCCCGCTCACGACCAATAATTGTGGCGAATAGCAAAACCGGTCCCTGGGCCTCATCATCTACGTCGATTCAGTTATAAGTACTGCACCTGGTGAGGTGGGTAAACATCAGCAATGGGGAGACAAAGGGGGGCCGCGCATGGTGATCGCCACCTACCCCGCTTGTGCACCGCGCCAGCCTTAATAGGTGCTCGCTAACCGCACTTGCCCCAACAGCCTGACAAACTCTAGATGGGGGTCTTTGTCTTTGTGTGTGAATAATGGTCAAGGTGGCTCCTTCACTGAGCTATAATGCCACTGACACATGTTAAGCAACGGCTTAACATGTGCCATTCCGTGAAATATCAACAATAGCCCTGCTTCAGAGCAAGATACTTCTTAACCACCGGTCTTCTACACATTTTCCCGATTGTTAGATAGTGTTAACGATCAATGTGGTGATTTATTTGTTACGATTATGTGCACTTGTATAATGCTGCCAACACAGTTCCTTTAATGTATTGTTACGTCGCAGAGACCCAGGGGTGGATTCTTCACAACGCCAACGGCAACTATATCTGAGCCTGCCCTGGATCCCCTTAATATAAGCAGCTTTAAAAGTACTGGGATCTGTGCTGTGGTCAATATTATGACCAACGAGTCCGCGAATGTGACTGCTTGACAACCCCACCATATGCTGTTTTAAATTAGGGGCCGTCCATAAATGACGTCACGCACCTAGGGGGGGTGGGGGGGGGGGAATCAGACATTTGTGACGATGTGTGACGAGGGGGGGGGGGGTTGAGAAATGTGACGTCACATCAAAATGCGCAACTTTAAATAAATATAGACAACACGTTCTACTTAATTAAATAGACTTTTTAATAAATGTTTACTCCTATAACATCAGAGTGCAGCGCCACATTAAATACGCACTACAATGACAATAGTTTAAAGCGATTTGAAGCATGTTTTATTATTTTGGGTGCGGGGGGGGGCAGAGCTTTGTGACGTCATATTTGAGGGGGGGGGGGTCTGACTTTTTGTGACGCCGTGTGACGAGGCGGGGGGGGGGGGACAAAAATCGTGACGTCATTTATGGACGGCCCCTTAATAAAAGTTCGAAATTGCATGGCTGAACCGTGTCCTCTTTTTACCATATATACAATCACCGCATGCTATTTTCCTTTTGCTGATATATAGATCCCATTAAAGAGTGCGCGATGGTGTACTCTTGCGTCGCTCGCTCACTCACACAAACAATGGCAGCCGAAAACACACCCAACATAAAACATCGAGGGACTGGGTAAATCAGCAGTCCAAGTTATTTGTCGGGGTGCTTTCACATCTTCCAGAAGGAAGGCACCGTGGCGGCAAGCGGCTCGGGAACAGATCGTCTCAGCATCGCGGTGATGAATCGCACGCGCGCGTTTTCATTGCGTTCAATAAAAGCGAGTGCATTATCAGGCGTGTTGCAGTACGAACGGCACGGAAGAGCAGGGTGGCCAAAAACGAGCTATTGGATCTCATCGGCAAGGTGGTATATGGTGTTGACAGGCGTGGCTTTGTACCCATGGCACTGTTGTGTCGGGTCAGAACCTGTGCCGTGAATAAAATGCCAGTGGGCGTCGTGCACCCTCCTCCACCTGATGACACGGTCAAATAACTCACGTTGTCACGTGAACGGACGTGACGTTTTTTCATGCCCACGTGTTAAATACCCAACAGATTACATTTGTTTAGACACTTTACAGCGCAGTATTTAAATCATCGGTTATAGCTGCAGGTGTATTAGCCGTAAATTTTTTCTACCCACCATCCGCTTCACAGCAGACCTTAAACATCCTATGATGCCACACGAAAAAAAGAGGAGGCTATTGTGTGCCAACGACATGGCTTATTTTTTGGCAAATCTAAAAATGTAACCACAAATTAGACATTTTGACTTGACCGCAGACTACGTCTGTGAAACATTGCGTCTCCATGACAGCCGTGCACTATAAGAACGGTTTCGAACCCCAAAAGTACTAGGTCATTAAAAAAAAAGATTTCAATCACCTTTCGGCATTACGTCGTGAGATTAGGAAATCACGTTTTGAATTTCTCACAGCCGAGCCACTCCACCTATTTGTGTTGGACAATGAACCCAGAAGACGACGTCACAAACTACGACCGAAGCTCCTTGATTACACGTCGTACACACAAGAGGTAAACGTGTTTTACACCCAGTAAAGAGTATTTGTCACGCGTCAAAACCAAAACGAATAATCTCATCCAAATGTAATAAGCTGAATTAAGCGATTTTTTTAAATTTACAATGATGGAATTTTTGTGAATTCATCGGTGACCAGAGGTCACGACACTCTATCGACCTGAGAACCTGGTTTTGTCACAGGTGTTGCTCAGATTCTCACCCACAATCTCAGTGGTGCCAGCTCAGTGCGCCGACCTGGCACTATTAGGGAAGGTCTCTGAGGGCGAGCCACTTACCTTGTACAGAGTCGTTCCTCAGTTTGATTTCTTCCACGCAGTCTGCAGGAAACCAGCCAACTCGACCTTTCACACTGCCTTCCCAGAATCCTCCTTGGCCAATGCTTAGCACTGTTATGATTGGGTGGAAATGAACGCAAAAACAAGAGAGAAACATAACGTTGGAAGTCAAGCATGGCAATATTTCCTTCCAAATTTGAATCTCTGGAAATGCATAGTGTTCAAATAAGACGTGTAAGAAAACTCATAAGTACTTATCTACAACAATAATTGTCAGACTTCTATCCATGCAAAAGTACACGTGGCAAAGAATTCAACACGTTGAGTAGGCGTAGTGCAATTGTCATGGGTTAAGTAGAGTATTAATAAATAAAAACAAGTAAAACGCTAATTAATAAAATGGATAAACATCATAGTGCAGGACACTCCTTATTAAAAGAGGCCTGCCAGTTCAGCTTCCATAGTAAAAAACCCAATATAATTATTCAACATTAAAACAGCTTGAGATTGTTTTGATTCTTTTTTCACACGTACATAAGTGCGCCGAGCCAGTGGTTAACAATTCCACATTCTTATGGCAGACAGCCGTCTCTATGTTGTTGATTCCCACAGTCCATGAAGGTTGCTGTTGAATTGACCGGGTGATAGTGCTTTCAGTGTTCGATTACTTACTGCGAGGAAAACACACGTGACGAGCTATAAGTAATAATGAATAATAATTTAATGTGTAGCTATGTTGATTCATGGTGGTTGTTTGACCATAATTCACCACATCGGGATTGGGTCAGATGTGATTTTCATGCTATTAAAAGTGGCTGGAAATTTCATTCAGGTCACCGGGTTCAAAGTGCAGGAACAATGAAGGATGTGTAATTAACATTGTGCCGCAAGTTTTTATTTCGTCTTTGAATTTTGGGTAAGACATGAGCGTAGAGTTTCGATAATAAAAGCACAGGGTCTAAAGCGTGGTGGGGTTTGGGAAGCTAAACGTGAGTGCACAGTTGCATATCACAGCCATGCTTCGAGACATCAGTAGCAAATGCGGCAAACTTTGAAGATCTAATGATAATATCGCAATCAAGCAAATAGAGTAATGAATAGAGGCGCTTAAAACGCGGGCTGCGTGAGAATGCTAACGAGATGGAACGCGAAAAATAACAAAACGTTCCACGTGCATCCGCTCGTAACTGTGAGCAGTGACAAATCCCCGCATCTCAAACTCCAATTCACGCTGCCTTATGGCCTCCTCGGAAATGAGTATGTGAAATGAAATGCCCTTTTGTGCGGAAACCAATGGAGAAATGAATTAATACTGTCAAGATGAAAACATTAAAAGCTCATTTGCGCTCTAAATGCAGCCATTTGTGCTTCACTGACAACAGCCAGGGCTTCGTCAGCATATGGGCAAGAATCAGATTTTTTTTATTTGATATGAACCCAATTACTCACAGTCAATCTTGAAAATGGTGGCACGGTATTTGTTGTTGCTGGGTTTAAAATGTAGGCCGTACAAACGCGTACGGATATGCCGTTGAAAAAGGCACGTGAGTTCATACATTTTTATTTCTTCAATTTACACACACACACTGTCCTGAGTGGTGAGTGATAGATGTTAACTACTTCACCACAGTGGTGAAATATTAACTACCTCGCCTGGTATACAGGAGGCCCTGGGTTCAATTTCGACCCTGATGCCTGCTGTATATTTGGAGTTTGCGTGATCGACCCATAGTCGTGTGGCTTTTCTCTGGATCCCCTGGTTTTTCCATCCACATTTAGAATCAACATGCGTTTAGAGTGTTTGGCTACTATAAATGTCCACGTGATAATAATCCACTTCGTTGAGGTATCACGTGGCCAGGTCGCTTTCAAAAAAAGAGCTATATAGCTCAGTGGGCCTTACCTGGTAAAATAAAAATAGTTTTTAGTTTAGTAAAATAGTCAAGAGATCACCATAACTAAAATGATGTGGGGAGGCCTTCATCCATTGGTAGATTGGGAAAGGCCAATTTTTTTAATTCATGTTTTTACATTTTTGTATATCCTCGATCTCTTTAGTTGAATAACAAATAAGTCGGAGTTATTTCACTGATGTATTAATTTGATTTAGAAAAATGTTTTTTTCATTGTTGAAATATATTAATTTTAATACTATAATTTGTTTATAACTTATTTTTTGGCATCACAGTACTTGTTAGATTTGTTGAGACTACATACACTGTTTTTGATTTTAAAACATATGTGCCAAGACATCCCTATATTGTTGGAAATCAAACATATGTCAAACCAATAAGGCCATAAATATTATGCCAAATAATTCTATTTTCTTTTTTCAAATATACTTTTCTTACCTAAACAGAAAAACCCAGTAAAATGCTGTCTCCCTTCTCCATTGAGCTAAATCCAGTTGTGGAATTGCCACATTTATATGACATGAGTCAGATTCTCCACAGGACAACCATTGTAAATGTCTCACAGCACGGAACTCAATGTAATGGCTCAACTTACAAACCTTCAGATTATGCACAGCCCCACAAGGCCACGTGGATTTTTAGTTCTTTCACCACCACCATCATCATCAGCCATGGTCATCCACTGCTGAAGGCCACCCCATGCCACCATCATCATCAGCCATGGTCAATCCACTGCTGAAGGCCACCCGAAGCCACCATCATCATCAGCCATGGTCAATCCACTGCTGGATGAAGGCCTCCCCAAGGTGCCACTGTTCCTCTTGGTGCTGCGACATAACGATCTACCTAGGCACCTGCTTAACGAGCCGAATTGTACCGCTCTCTCTCGGTAGACGTCCTCTCGGACGCGTTCCACCTTGGCGACAACTCCCCTCGCTATTCTCGTTCACCGTCCATTCTTGCAAATTGTCCTAATTCACTTTTACGTATCCATCCTGTAGCCGGGTGATGCGGATGTTTATCTGACGATGGTTTCCCAATGCTTTCCACGGCTCGCTCTCTCTCTCTCTCTCGTTGTAAAATCTCGAGAGGGCAATGCTGCGAAGTTCGCACTCAAGAATAATACAGCATCTATAGCCAACATCACTGTGTAGTACACAGGGATGTCACACCTCTTATGTAAGCAAGACCTCTTTCACACCAGCCAGTACTATACATGAAAGTGATATCGCAGGGTTTCACAAGCTGCGGTTCCTCGCAATCCAACACGCTACATCTTTCCGAGATCACCAATTTGCTCTCCATTGAAATACAAATTAGCTGGTTCCATGCTGCACGCGCCAGATGATTGCTAAACACGCACCACATGGCACGCTAAGCTATTAACGCTGTCTGCGTCAAAAGGAAAGTGTGTACACACACGTGTAACGTGTATAAAGATAAATATCCCCCGTATAGGCAAGTGTTGTTAGGGTGGGTGGCCAGCACCGCGCCCGACCGCCTTTGTCTCCCGAGTGGCGATGTTTACACATCGCACCAGGTCCTCATTTGAGGCTGAGTCGACCTAGGGGAGGCCCAGGACCGGTTCAGATAATCATCACTTGTGTTGGCCGTGAGCAGGAATCGAACTCGGGAAGCCGGGTTCGTGGCGCAGCACACACACACACACACGCTGTGATCTCGAGAATAATTTGAATCGCCTCTATTAACGCCGTCGGCGTCAGTTTCCAAGAGGGCAATCATTGGACACGTGGCGCGCGGAAAGACGCAGCGTGGTGGTCCGCGAGGACTGGAGTATGAGAAACGAACGCCGCGATATTGCAACGCGTTTTTGTTGTTGTTGCCGTTGCTCTCTGTCCAAACTTATATATTCACGTAGATAATTATTTCGCCCCACCGTCCCTCCCCGGGGTGGCGACGACGAGGTTATTTTAGGTCCGTCGGTCATTTGCCAGCTTGTCAACGATTGACGCAATTCCTCCTCGATGGCTCCTGCGCAGCGGCATCAGGTGGAGATGACTCGACAGAGATTGTTGCTGATGCTGGGGCGTTGTTAGCACGCGGAGAGACCGAGACGCTCTGCGAGTTCATTCTGATCAGATGCCGAGTCCCACAATGTACTGTTGTGTGCAGGGAGACTTCGTTCATCGGCAGAATAAAATTGCATTTAAAAAAAAAAATGTTTCACCAGATATAAGGCTCACCGAGCTATATAGCCGTTTTGCAGAAGCGACCTGGCCACAAATGATAGCTCAACGAAGTGGCTTATCACGTGAAAATTTATAGCAGCAGCCAAATAATATGAGCGCATGCTGATTATAAATGTGGAGGGAAAAAAACGGAGGACCCAGAGAAAAATCCACGCGACAACGGGGATGACACTAACTCCAAACATACAGCAGGCGTCGAGGTCGAACCCACGACCTCCTGTATACCAGGCAAGGTAGTTAAGATCTTGTCACCATGGCGCCCACAATGATTTGTGCCACTCATTGCAAGATTATTGCGAGAAAAACCTTTCCATTTTGTGCACCATTAGGGTTCTGAAAAAGTCTAAACTTTAATTCTTCAATTCGGGGCAAATGTCCCGTAAATTACAATATGGATGTCAGGTTCACTTTGCAATATTTAACTTAACATTTTCCAAAATATTTGGTCACATTGTAACCTTGCGGGCGCTGCAGGGTTTCAGTCCTTCACGGCGTAGTGTGTTACCAATTGTTTTCTTGGTGACAATGGTCCCAGCTGCCTTGAGATCATTGACAAGATCCTCCTGTGTAGTTCTGGGCTGATTCCTCACCGTTCTCATGATCATTGCAACTCCACGAGGTGAGATCGTGCGCACATGCTGCATGGATTGTTGCATCGCAGGATTGAGAAATGTGGTGGGGAGACCTTCATCCAGCAGTGGATTGACCATGGTTGATTATGGTGGTGGCATGGGGAGGCCTTCATCCAGCAGTGGACTGACCATGGCTGATGATAGTGGTGGCATGGGGAGGGCTTCATCCAGCAGTGGATTGACCATGGCTGATCATAGTGATGATGATAATGTGCTATTTGTATCACTTGATGGCCATATTTCTGTAGTTCTATTCAATTTGGTAGGGTAGAGAGGTTAAATGTAGTGTTGAAAGAAGGATTTTGCAAGCAATTTCAATATCTGTGTTACTATGTGGATCAGATTGCTGTACCATA